TTTTGGTATGGGGATTGGTTGAATGGGAGTGTGGGGGAGGGGGGTGTTTGGGTGTTTAGATTGTTGGAAGGGGGTGGGGGAGGGGAGCTGGGGGGTCTCCAGCGTATAGTCAGCTGAGAAGAAACCCAGGTTTGGGTGTCTAGGAAATATGAAGTTAATTGTAACACATATTGTAAGTGTTGTTGTCATTTGTCAAGTTATTCTAACAATTTCTTATTGGTCTTAGTTATCGTCTGTGAAATTCTTTTAGCCTCTTATTATTAGTGTTGTTGTTATCTGTCAAGTTATTCACACAACTTATTATCATTAACGTTGTTATTATCCATCATGTTATTCGCACAACGTATTATAATTAATGTTGTTATTATCTGCCATGCTATTCACACAACTTATTATTAGTGTTGTAATTATCTGTCAGGATATTCAAACAAGTTAAATTATTACTACTGTTGTTATTATCTGTCATGTTATTCATACAACTTATTATCATTAACGTTGTTATTATCTTCTAAGTTATTCGAACGATGTATTATTACTACTGTTGTTATTGTCTGTCAGTTATTCGAACAACTAATCATTACCAGTGTTGTTGTTATCTTTCAAGTTATTCAAACAGTTATTATTATTAGTGTTGTTGTTGTCTTTCAAGTTATTCAAACACTTATTATTATTATTAGTGTTGTTGTTTTCCCCAAGGTGACACGTGACAAGCTGGCCGGAGTCCACGTGATCATCTACCGGCCGCTGCCGGCCAGACAGAAAGCCCCGGCGACCATCTACTTCCACGGCGGGGGTTATGTGTTTGGATCTGGTAGTACGTAACTCTGAGAAGCTAGAGCTGGCGTCTAGAATTGATGAAATTTATAACAATAACAGTAACACCCTAGGTATAAAAAAGATGAAAAACAATACAAACAACCCGTCACTACCCCTTTCTTTGCAAATTGTAAGATCACGCGGTGGAGGATATTTACCTCTAAAATCGAAGAAAGAAAGATATGAAAGAAGTTTTTCTTTTTTACAATCTAGCATAAGGTAATTGTCAGAATAAGCATCAATGTGTATTGCTCATTCGAGTATGTATCTATATAACTCTAAATGTCTTAATTGTAATTAAATTCCTGCATGTTGTTAAATTATGCATCTGATGTGATATTCAGCTTTACTTCTCTTTTCATATTGAAAATTAAGGAGAGAAATACATAATTTACATAATTTACATAATTTATGTCATACCTGTATGTGTTTTTACGGTCCTGTACAGCCAAGAACAATTTCCCTCTGGGGTAATAAGTTACTATCTTATCTTATCTTATCTTGTTTCACTTTTACTTTTTTCTGTTCTCTTGTACTGCGAGGTGGTCCTGGTGAGGGGAGATGTGATAATTACTAATTGTAAGATATGGGCCAGGTGTGTTTCCTTGTAGGATCATCGTATTGTGCCTGTGGAGGGTGTCTTTGACTTCACCAGTCCATCTTTATCTTTCTCTTCTCTTTTACTTTGGAGTCATGGGATTTTGTGTTGAGGGCCTTTAACACTTTCCACCCACGCAGCGCGCAGAACGCACAACGCGTGTCCCCACGGACCAGGATGCAGATACCTTACATCTGTACCATACCTGTATCTCGGCAAAAATAAACCAACCAATATGAAATGTTGAGCACTATTGACAAAATTGAACGCGATAATCACATGGTCACCCAAAAAGGAATTAAAATTGGACTGAAAACATCAAATCTAGAACATTTATCACCCGAATTCTCATCCTGGCGTAAATTTATATAAAGCAGCACTCATGCAAGGTCTACTCTGCATATATTTTTAAAAATACTCCAATTGTGGTAAACAAACTGATTTTCGACCTCAAAAGCCACACAAACCATTCAGAAAGGAAGGTACTTCTTTAACAAGTGCGCATGTCAAGAAGGAGATCATTGCTGGACTACAACATTTTTCTTTCCACACCATGGCCAATAGGCGTACCGTGAGGCTTCTTACTTCTTACCGTCGCTGATCAGTTTCCCTTGGGGTCAAAGTGTTAACGGTTTGCTGTTGTGGCCCCATTCTTACATATTATAGATCTATGTGAGGCGCGAGGTGAAATCAGGCGCTCACCAAAATAATTAAAATTAAAGTCAAAGAGCTGTCCTTTTTCAGCAGGTTTGGGAATTTTGATGGAATTTTTGTCTTTTGGCTCAACACCTTTCATGTCCATTGAAGAACACATTTCTTTGTGGGTTTTATTGGAAAAACATTGAATAAAGGAATAAAGGTTGTCAATTTTCAGTTTTCACGTACTCTCAAACTAAGAAAATAACTCAAGTTTCTCGGCCATTTTCTCACTAATTTTACTTCTGAAACCAAGTGATCCCCTTCTCCTTCAATCGTCAATATCTTGGCTTGTATCAAAGATAAAGGGATGTTGTTTTTCCTCAAAAACGAGGCAAATGGACAGGACGTAAGATGATACTCTTAACTGCAAATACCCAAAAATTGACGAGCATCTGACTCCACCGCTGTGTGACACATACAATGTATCTTTGTCCAAACCATTTGCCTTGTCTCTTGATGAACTTCGTCCTCGACTTGACACCCACTTGTTGCCTGATGACTTTGTTTCATTATCTGTCTCTTCTTTTGTCGTTTAAAGTCTTTCTAAAACATTTCAGCCTTGGTCATGTTATCAAAGGCTAGATTTTTGCTTCATTTTGGGACATGGAGCTTTCAACAACATGCCGATGTTATAAAAGTGCCAAGTGAAAAACAGGCTGTCACTTTCGTCTTCCCACAAATTTTCATAATTTCTTCACTTTTTTATGACTTTCTCTTAATTAACTTGATTTTCTTCTATACAAATATACAGTTAATGAATTAGTTGTTTTTCATTTGATTGATTTCATTGTAATTTCCTCACCTTTCATCAGCGGTTCCCATAGTCCGAATGATTACTCTATGAGGAAATCCTGCTTAAATAAACGTGCTGTTTGCTCTACATGCAATGTGAATATATGGGTGGTTGGCGCGGCTTTCGTGTGGTTTGCTTCTTCTTTCCTATCAAACATCTATCATCCTATTTTCTCTCCTTTTTTTCGTGTTTGTTACTCTCTCGTAACACCTCTAATCTTTGGCACTTATATGACCTTATTGAGTGCAAGTGCCATAAAACACTTACTAATACTAAAAAGTAAATTGAAAATAGCTTCATGTCTTTATTTTGCAGATGCTTTCGATCAGCATTGTTACGAATATGCTAAAAGAAGTGGTACGGTGGTCTTCTATGTAGAGTAAGTCGGGTTTTTTTCCATGATGTCATTGTCACATGCTTGTGTTGTCCAAGTTTTGAACTGCCAATATATAATGGAGCAAACTGGTTGTGAAGAATCGTGGATTAATAAAGGATAAAAATTATTGGTTGACTTTTGAAATGAATATTCTTCGTAAAAGGTAAAACGCTGCATTCCTTACTCACTTGTCTATGACTGAGTGTTGGTTTATGCATTGATTTTTACTAATTTTTATATTTAGGTACGTTGACATTGTATGTAACATTTTTCCTCTGTTTATTTGTGTGCATATGTGTGTGTGTATATAT